ACCCCCCAAACTCCTGGGTTCAAAAAACCCTCCTGCCTCGGCCTCCCAAGTAATTGGGGCCACAGGCACGCACCATTGTGCCTGGCTTTCTTCCTTTTTGATGTGAAGAAGTCTTAACATGGTAGGAAAATCAGCTCTTGGTGATATTAAATAGAGAAAAGGAGCAGGGTTAGAGAGGTATCTTAAGATTGTAGGAAGGTCTCTCCTATTTCCTTAAGATAAGGAGTATGTAAATACGTTCGTGTGCTGATGGTAATGATCCAGTCAACAGAGAATTTGATTATGCAAAAGAGAGAAGGGACGGCTGCAAGAACAATACTCTCTGCAGACAATAAATAATGACATTCAGTACACAAATGGAAGACTTGGTTTTCAACAGGGACTCCTATTATAACACAAGTGAAAGTGGAGTTTTGGGGGAAAAATATAGTTACATAGGTATATCTGAAAGTGGAAAAATAAGGAAGTTCTCTTCTGGGTGCTTATATGAAATATGAAGTGAGATAATCAGTTATGACTGAATAGTAGATGGCAAGTGAAGGTTTGAGGGGAGGGAAAAATTCTTAGAGTGGGACAGTGAATTAGGGAAATGTAGTAGGACTGCAGGCAAGAATAAGGTACCAAATAAGGCACCATCTATGATTTATGGCCATACGTAAAAAGCACAGTTTCGTGCTCTTCTCCAGCCACGTTCTGCTTTTTAGGAACCATAAATGAAATAGCAGAGTTTGGCTGCACCAGTGTTGGGGGATTCTGCTGTGAAGAAGGGGGCAAAGGACTTGAAGATGTGCAATGAAGTGAACATGATGATAAATCATGGAATCTAAGCCAATACAAATAGAAAAATTGAGACAAGGGGCAACAAATTAATAACATCAAATGACTAAAGGTCAAAATGAGGTTGAATTGCTAGAATAGAGGTGAATGAACTGAGGGTTGTAGTCACAGAATGGGACGATTAAATTGATATTTTAGAGGTGATGAAAGTGTTAATAATTATAGATAATAAAATCTATAGTATTATCTTGGAAGCAAGTAACTGAGTTGAAGTGGAGGGCAGGATAGTCAGAAAGAGATGAAGAAACCAGAAAGTCAGGGTGTTGGATGAAACATTAGTGTGGTTTCTGGACATGACCAGGAACGACAGCATGGATAATAGACCAGGAACGACAGCATGGATAATAGACCAGGAACGACAGCATGGATAATAGGACCAGGAACGACAGCATGGATAATAGACCAGGAACGACAGCATGGATAATAGACCAGGAACGACAGCATGGATAATAGTGGCAAAATGACAGTGGGCCTTCGCGCTGAAGTCTCCAGTGACCAAAGCCAGACTGATGAGGAGAACACTAGATCGCCGCAGCCAGGGACAGGTAGTAAGTTGAATGGCCTGACAGCAGGGTGACAGTGAGGGCTTCAGAAGAACTGATAAGTAAAAATCACTCACGTAAAAAAATTTTAAACACAAGTGCTTTTTAAAAAACACAAATAAATTGTTTATGGATTGTATACACAGAAGTGTACAACAAAACCAACATCTATAGTTGTCTAAGAAGGGAAGAGAATGGAAGCAAAACATTAAGATAAAGTTGAAACTGCAAGGTGAAATTCAGGTTTTTCATAATGCTTTATTAGTTCAATAACAGATGGGGGAAAAGTAACATAATGGGCCGGGTGCGGTGGCTCATGCCTATATAATCCCAGCACTTTGGGAGGCCGAGGCAGGCGGATCATCTGAGGTCGGGAGTTCGAGACCAGCCTGAACAACATGGAGAAACCCCGTCTCTACTAAAAATACAAAATTAGCCGGGAGTGGTGGCACGTGCCTGTAATCCCAGCTACTGAGGCAAGAGAATGGATTGAACCCGGGAGGCGGAGGTTGTGGTGATCCGAGACAGCGCCACGGCACTCCAGCCTGGGCAACAGAGCGAGACTCTGTCTCAAACAAAACAAAACAAAAAACAACAACAACAAAATACATATATAGAATATAAAATAAGAAACCTAAAAATACATAAGTACTTTAAGAACAATTTAGTCAACTGCAACACAATTGAACTGCATACAAATGTAAGCACTAGAACCCAAAAGTACAAAGATAAATAGTATCTGTCCTCATGTACCTAAGAGCATAGAAAATACCCTAAGTTTTAGATATATTGTAAGTCAGTGTTTCTCAAAGTGCAGGCCATGAACTAGCAGCACCAGAAACATCAGAATTACAGGCATACCTCAGAGATATTATAGTTCCATACCACAGCGATAAAGCAAATATTGCAATAAAGACTGTCATACGAATTTTTTGGTTTCCCAGTGCATGTACAAGTTATGTTTACACTATACTAAGGAATAGCATTATGTCTAAAAATACAATGTACAGGCCTCAATTTAAAAATACTTCACTGCTAAAAAAACGCTAACAATCATCTGAGCCTTCAGCAAGTTGCAATGTTTTTGCTGGTGGAGCATCTTGCCTTGATATTGCTGGCCTTGATGCTGAGGGTGGTAGTTGCTGAAGGGTGGAGTGCCTGTGTTAATTTCTTAAAATAAGACAAAAATGCAGTTGGCCGCATCCACTGACTCTTTCACAAAAGATTTCTCTGAAGCATGTGATGCTGTTTGACAGCATTTTACCCAGAGTAGAACTTCTTTCAAAATTGAAGTGAATTCTCTCAAACCCTACCACTACTTTAACAACTAAGTTTATGTAATATTCCAAAATCCTTTGTTGCTGTTTCAACAATGTTCACATTGTCTTCACCTACCAGGAGTAGATTTCATCTCAAGAAACCACTTTCTTTGATTATCTATAAGAAGCGACTCCTTAGTTGCTAAAGTTTTATCATGAGGTTGCAGCAATTCAGGCTCCACTTCTAACTCTAGTTCTCTTATTATTTCTACCAATTTGCAGTAACCTCCTCCACTGAAGTTTTGACCTGGTCCAAGTCATCCAAGAGAGCTGGAATCAACATCTTTCAAACTCCTGTTAATGTTGATATTGTGACCTCTTCCCATGAATCATGAATGTCCTTAATGGCATCTAGACTGGTGAATCCTTTGCAGAAGGTTTTCAACTTACTTTGCCCAGATCCATCAGAGGAATCACTATCTATGGCAGCTATAGCTTTAGGAAATGTATTTCTTAAATAGTAAGACTTGAAAGTCAGAATTATTCCTTGATCCATGGGCTACAGAATGGATGACAAGTTAGTAAAGCATCAAAACGACACCGGTCTCCTTGCACTTTGCCATCATAGCTCTTGGGCAGCTAGGTGCCTTGTCTAAGAGCAGTAATATTTTGAAAGAATTTTTTTTGTTGTTTTTTTCTGAGCAGTAGGTCTCAATAGTTGGCTTACAATATTCGGTCAACCATGCTGTAAACAGATATGCTGTCACTCAGGCTTTGTTGTTTAAGTTACAGAGCACAGGTTTTGTTACAGTTATGCAAAACAGGCAGATGGGCTTAGCATAATTTCTTGGATTTCTGGACTGGTAAATGAGCATTGACTTCAACTGAAAATCACCAGCTGCATTAGCAACTAACATGAAAGTCAGCCTGTACTTTGAATCTTTGAAGTCAGGCACTGACTTATCCTCTCCAGCTGTGGAAGTCCTAGAAGGTATCTTTTTCCAGCAGAAGGCTGTTTCATCTACGCTGGAAAACTGCTGTTTGGTGTAACCACTTCCATTCAGTATCTTAGCTAGATCTTCTGGGTAACTTGCTGCAGATTCTACATCAGCACTTGCTGCTTTACCTGCACTTTCATGTTATAGAGATGACTTCTTTCCCTCAACCTCATGAACCAACCCCTGCTAGCCTCACATTTCTCTTCTACAGCTTCCTCATCTCTCTCAGACTTACAGTTCTGGGTGAGGCTTCGGCTTGAAGGAATCTTAGGACTGGTTTGATCTACCTAGACCATTTCAAACTTGTCCACATCAGCAATCAGACTGCTTTACTTTCTTATCATTAGTGTGTTCACTGTAACAGTACTTTTAACTTCCTTCAAGAACTTTTCTTTGGCATTCACAACTTGGCTAAATGCAGCAAGAGGTCTAGCTTTCTCCCTTTACTGCCATTGGACATGCCTTCCTCACTAAGTTAAATCATTTTGACTTAAAATGAGAAATATGCAACTTGTCTTTTCACTTGAACACTTAGAGGTCATTGTAGAGTTATTAACTGGCCTAATTTCAATATTGTTGTATCTTGGGGAACAGGGAGGCCCGAGGAGAGCGAGAGAAACAGGGGAATGACTAGTCGTCAGAGGAGCAGTCAGAACACACTGATCTACTAAGCTTGCTGTCTTACACGAGTGTGGTTGTAGCACCTCAAAACAATTAAAATAGTTAAACATCAAAGACCAGTGATCACAGATTACTGTAATAGATACCACAATCATAATGAAAAAGTATGAAATACTGCGAGATTTACCAAAATGTGACACAGAGACATTAAGAGACATGAAGTGAGAACATGTTACTGAAGAAAAAAAGGTGCGGATAAATTTGCTCAATGCAGGATTGCCATAAACCTTCAATTTGTAAAATATGTAGTCTCTGTGAAGTGCAATAAAGCAAGGAACAATAAAATGAGGTATGCCTGTACTTTGCTTGTTAAAAGAATGAACTGCTTGTTAAAGCAAATTTCTGAGCTCAACTGAAAAACTATTAGAACAAAACAATTTCAATATTTGCAAGTGTTCTTTAGTGACTATTATTTACATGAAAGTTTGAAAATCAACCCTTTAAATGTAAGAGTAATCACTACTATAAAATAATAAAGGTAAAAAGGATCCCCCTTTCTAATTATAAAAATTTTGACTTAAAGTAGATTTAAAAAAAAAAAAAGAGTAGATTAAAATGCTTAATTGTTCCTTTAAAAATATTTGCATAATGTTTAAACTTTATTATACTGAGAACATTTCACTAATGGCATAACAACTGAAGAAATAAGATAAATTTAAGCAAACATATGCTAACAGACTTACAGTTGGTGATATCAGGTGGTGCATAGCCATCATTCATATACATACTTGTGGGTTTTGCCACTTTCAAATAAACAAAATCAGATGTGTTCTTTAAGGCAGTTACTGCTTCTTCATGAGTAACTTCTTCTAAACATACGTTATTCACCTAAAAAAAAATCCCAAAAGACATTTATGACATTTTCACTTGTTTTCTGAGTTTTGGAAACAATTTCACGAAAAGAAAGGGAAAATAAGAGAGTGATTTAAGGAAAATAAAGGTATGCAGAAAGAAAATACCCATGTTTGACATCTATGATCTCAGTAAGTTGTTTATCATGACATGTGAGGTTGTTGTATGTTAACAGAATAGCCCATCTTGATTCCAGCCTCCATCCCTCCTATTCTCCCAGTCTTGATTTTCTCTCATTCTTAGGCATTCAGGAATGTGTGTGGATGCGTTTCAGACCTTTTCTTCTTTAAAGAAATGAAAACATATTAAAATTTTTGTTCTTACGTTAGGATTTTTAATGTAAGGTACCTTAGAGACTGTTCCATATTTGGACACAAATTAATAGAATTACTACACTGTTAAAAAAAAAAACGGCTGCACAGTAGCCCATTGTGTGGCTATATCATAATTTATTAAATACTATATCTGTTAATATTCCCATATTTAAATAGGAAAACTATTAGAACACAAGTGAGATATTTAAATTGTTCTCCTACATGGTTTTAGTAAATTTATACTCACTACCACAGCATATGAGAGTGCCCATCTACTTAGACCTTTGCCAACATTAAACATTATCAACTAATTTTAAAAATCTGTAAAATGATGCATGTTTTAATTTATACATCAGTTTTAAATTTCTACTTTTGTAATACTCAAGTTGAACTTTTTTTTCAATTATTTGTTGGCCATTCATCTATCTTCTGTATAGAAATATAACTGATTTTTAGGTAGTGATGTATCCTGCAACCAGTACTAAACTAATTTATTAGTCTATTAGCAGGTTCCTTAGGATATTCTATATACAATATGATGACATCTGCAAATATAGTTTTATTTCTTCCTTTCTAATCTGATTTTTTTTTCCCTTTTTCTTTTCTTATTGCCCTGGACAGAATCTCCAGGATAAGACTGATTACAAGTGGTAGTTTGTGTCTTTCTAGCAATCTGTCAATTTCATCTAAGTTACCTCAGGTATTAGCACACAGTGACTCACAACAGTCTCTTGTCTTCCCTCTTTCATTCTTGCTTTCAGAAATTTCAGCCTTCTCTCTTTTTACTTGGCCGGTCTGAAGTTTTTCATTTTGTTGATTTTTATCAAAGGACCAACTTTCAGTTTTTGTCTATCTTCTCTACACCTTTTCTATTACCTATTTCAGTAATTTCTGCCCTAATCTTTATTATTTCCACCCTTCTGTTTGCTTTAGATTTAGATTGTTCTTCTCTTTGATACATTTTTTTTTTGTAAATGAATAAAACATTATCAATGTTTCTGTTTTAAATTACCTTGTATTAACAATATTAATATATTTTTCATTTTCCTAATTTGTACCTTTGTAATTGACAACAGCAGTTTTTAATATTTTCACAAAAAAATTTAAAGGTCACAGAAGAATAATTTCCCCTCATTGATTAGGAACATTGCTTTGCAGAGTTTCAGCAGCATGGTCATTTTTATGGCTCCACATTACCATGCAAAGCAAGGACGGCCTGCATTTTGAAAAACACATTAAACAGCTGTGGTATACTGCTGAAACACACATTCAATAGCTGTGGTATACTGTTGAAACACACATTCAATAGCTGTGGTATACTGCTGAAACACACATTCAATAGCTGTGGTATACTGCTGAAACACACATTCAATAGCTGTGGTATACTGTTGAAATAAACATTAAATAGCTGTGGTATAACATATTCAATAGCTGTGGTATACTGTTTCTTTGGTGGCCTAGAATAAGCCATGCATCCTGGTATTCACACCCTTGTAAAAATCTCTTTCTACACTGAATTTTGCTTGACCACATAACTAGCTTTAGCCAGTGAGGTACAGTAATTGCGAAGGAAAGAGAGGATTGATAAAAACAATACATCGGTGCTTATCTTCTTTGGAAAGCTCACTTTTGGAACCTAGCCACCATCCTGTGTGAAACTCAACCTAACCACGCTAAGAGGCCACTGGAGAATTAAGCACCTGGCTAACAGTGCCAGTTGAGTTCCCAGCTAAGCGCCAACTTGCCCACCATATGTGTGGGCCAACCTAGCAGTGGATTTTGTGGCCTAGTAAAGCAAAGACAAGTTGTTCCTGCCAAGCCCTATCCAATCTGAAGAATTATAAACAAATACATGAGTGGTGTTTTTTAGCCATTAATCTTTGTGTTTTCTCACATATCACTAGATAACTGATACAAGAGCTGACACAATTTGCTGAGGGATTCAATGTGGAATGTGTAGGATGATGATCCCAATGTTTTAGACCAGAGAAAAGTTATTTGACCATTTACCAGAGTCTTGATCTACACGTTAAAAAACAGTGACTTTGGGAGTGAATAGTAAAGAGGAGAAAATGTACAAGGAGGGAGTCCTGGATTACTTCAACGTTTAGAGGTTAGGGATATGAGGAGGCACCAGACCTCAGAACGACAGACTGAAGAGTGGCTACTCAGAAGAGAAATACCAAGATAAAGGGTAACTGTTAGGCAAACGAAAAAGTGTTACAAGAAGGAGGAAGGTGTGTCCAACTCCAGCCAGATCAGTCAATTAAGACAAGGACTGAGCACTGAATGATTTCAGCGTAATTAAGAGAAGAAAAGCCTCATTAAAAGTTGATTTAAAAGAGAATGAGTCTTGCCACAGTGGTATCAGCACAGGTTGCTGTCTCCTACCACCAAAACCAGTTCTAGAGAAACGATAAAAGTAAAAGTGAGAAAATTAGTGGCAACAGATGGCTGTCTTGACTCTGCGTTTGCGTGTGAGTGATGGTGAGACGATGCTGGTTACAGTTCGAGGAAACAGTGGTGATCTTAGCTGTGAAAGGATAAGTTAGAGAAACGTAGTACAAGTTCTGTTCTTTCCTTTTCCCTATCATCAACTAAAAATACAGTCTCCTTGCAACAATAAACAGTACTCCACAGGATGCAGAACAAAGGAATCTTATATATATTGCTGATGTAAATTTTTACAAGCAGCCTGGAAAACAACAGGGTGGTTTTTAAAAAGAATGCTACTAGCAGAATAATCAACTATCCCGTGACAGTCAAGTAAAATTCTTGTACACGTTCACCAGAACACACAGCACCTCTTTCTAAGAAAATTATTCATAATACCAAAAAAAAAAAAAAAGACTTAAAATAGATTTTTAAAAACCAGTACTTGCTAGTATATTTTTAAAAACCAACATCCTACCATGCCAGAACCAGTTTCTGTGCCTTTTCAGATTCTGCTAGGCCTTGGCTGCTTGCTCAGTGGAGAGTCCTGACTACTACTTTCATCTTGCCTCCTGCCCTTCCCAGTTTTCTCAGCCCCTTCTGGCTGGGACTGGGCATGGCTGATGTGTTCCACACAGTGAGAGCCATAGCACGTCACAGACCCACGTCTGCCCTGTCTATACCCCTGCAGCTCCACCATTTTTGGGCTTGGGTGAATGCTGTGCCACGGAGGATAGGAGTTGGCTTTCCTGGAAACTGTGCCCAGGGGAGCTGGGTAACACAATCCAAAAGCTTGGACCAAATAACCCCTAGGGGGTAGACAAGAGACAGGAGAATAAAAGGGGCCAGCATATAAACCTTTCTTTCGTTTCTCTGGATGGCTGGATGTAAGGTTTATGATGCCTGGATGGTTTCTACAGTGTCTGCCTGGAAGACTGTTCTACATGACAAGCAACAAGCTACCTTATAAAATTACAGCCAGCTCAGACACTTTCTACCTTCTACTGGCTCTCATTCATTCTCTGCTTCACTTCTCATTTCCACTCACTCTTGCCTTCTTGAGATCACATCTCCCAATAACACCTTAGCACATTAGCTTTTCTTCAGATTCTGTTTCCCTAAGGAACATGGGCTGAGACAGTTACTGATTGATATGGTATGGCTCTGTGTCCCCACCCAAATGTCATCCTGAATTGTAATCCCCACGTGTTGAGGGAGGGACCTTGTAGAAGGTGATTAGATCACGGAGGTGGCTCCCGATGATACTCTCTTGATAGTGAGTGAGTCTCATGAGATGAGACTGTTTTATAAGCATCTGGCATGTCCCCTGCTGACATGTGAAGAAGGGTGTGTTTGCTTTCCCCACCCCAACATGATTGTAAGTTTCCTGAGGCTGGTGAGTCCATTAAACCTCCTTCCTTTATAAATTACCCAGTCTCGGGTAATTCTGCATAGCAGTGTGAAAACAAACTAATACACTGATGAAGATTAGACAAATAAATTGCAGTATAGACATACAGTGGAATATTACATAGAGATAAAATGAATGAACTTTAGCTCTAAGCAATGATATGGGTAAGTCTTAGTAAAACAATATTAAGCAAAAAAAAATACTGGAGATGAAAGTCTCATACAGTGCAATAGCGTTCTGAAAAACTTTCAAAACAATACTAAACAAAATTATTTAGGCATATGTATGTAATTAAACTTTTTTTTTTTTGAGATGGGCTCTCACTCTGTCACCCAGACTGGAGTACAGTGGGACAATCACAGCTCACTATAACCTCAACCTCCTGGGCTCAGGTGATCTTCCCACCTTAGCCTCCTGAGGAGCTGGGACTATAGGTGTGTATCACCAGGCCTGGCTAATTTCTGTATTTTTTGTAGAGACAGGGTTTTGCCATGCAGACCAGGCTGGTCTTAAACTCCTGGGTACAAGCAATCTGCCTACCTCAGCCTCCCTAAGTGCCAAGATTACAGACAGGTGTGAGCCACCATCCCTGGCCTAATTAAACAATTTTTAAGAAGCAAAGGAATAAGAAACACAAAATGGTAGATGTTCTAATTCTTGAGCTAGGTAATTACTAGATTTCATTATATTATTAAGTGAAGTAAAACACAAAAGGGTCATACATAAACAAATGATGACGCTGTTTTATAAATCTAAGGATTATGATGAAACACTCTGTGCATACAAGCCCTCAACCCTTCAACAACAACGAAGGAATAAAAGGAAAACGGAGGAGGAGCTGGCAGAGAAAACAGAAATGACAAATAAAGATATTACCAAGAATCATTTTTTAGGATTTGACACAGCAAGGCTAGGATTTGCTAATTTAAATATCATTTAGACCTTTTTGGTATGGAGAAATTCCAGTATCTATTAGAAAAATCAGACAACAAAATGATTTAAAAGACAACAGATTTCTACACTTACTGCTAGAAGCTTATCTCCAATCTGGAGTTTGCCATCCTTATGTGCTGCACCTCCTTCAATTATTTTGGTTACATAGATGCTATTATCCCCAGGAATATGCTGATTTCCAACACCTCCAGCAATGCTGAACCCAAGACCTGTTTGGAAAACACTAGTTTTACATTCTCTTCTATAAATATGAACTTAAGCCCAGAAAGAAATGGTTGAAAACTACAAGGTAATAATTCCACTACACTAATATTTTTTAAAATAGAAAAGAATCCATTTAGTTATCTACTAGTATATGTTCTGCAATCAAGGGACACTTATAAATATAGCTGCTCCTAGAGTTATGAATAGATTCCTTTTATCCCACGTGTTCCTTCTTCGTATCTTCTCGCAAATGCACTTGTTATTACAAAGTGACATTGCAAAATTATGTTTTACTTTTGTTTCCATCATAATTACGCTCACCTACACTTTGATTATTTTCACTAGAATAAAACAATTGAGAAGAAATAATAAGATCGTCTGGTGGTGGTGGGCAGAACCAACAGGCTTTAAAAATGTGAATACTTTGGCTCTTTTTCAATATTCTATGAATTAACAACTTTAAGTAAGGAATTTCTGTAATTCTTAAATCCCATAGCTCCAATATCAGAAAATTTCTCAGCTCTCCATTCCTTTTTCATTTGTTGAAATCCTCCCTCTTCCATGAAGCCACATATTTAAACTAATATTTCCATTTATCCTCAATTCATCAATGTTTTAAAAATTCAGAAATCACATCTTTTTTTTTTTTTTGAGACGGAGTCTTGCTCTGTGACCCAGGCTGGAGTGAGTGGCCGGATCTCGGCTCACTGCAAGCTCCACCTCCTGGGTTCCCGCCATTCTCCTGCCTCAGCCTCCCGAGTAGCTGGGACTACAGGCGCCCGCCACCTTGCCCGGCTAGTTTTTTGTATTTTTTAGTAGAGACGGGGTTTCACCATGTTAGCCAGGAGGGTCTCCATCTCCTGACCTCGTGATCCGCCCATCTCGGCCTCCCAAAGAGAAATCACATCTTAACAGTCCTTTACTGCAGATGTAACTGCTCATAATACATATTAAAAGCACCTCTTCTTTTAACTTAGGCTGTGTATCTGCATTTAAAGTACTTTGTAGATTAATTATCACAAGTTAATATCAATACTATACTTAACTTCAAAGTATTCCAGGACACAAATATTTCACTCTTAACGCTAGAAGTCTTTAATGTAATAATACTTAATACCAATAGGGAGAAATCCACTTATAAAACAAGTAGATATTTTGTTCCTTACTTTTAAAAATTCTTAAAAATGTGCTGAGCAAATATTGAATATAAAAATCATAAAAACTTATAAATCTATACATATGCTCACTGAGGTAAAATGTATAAAATGTATACATTGACAAACATAAGAATTTTGGGCCAGGTGCAGTGGCTCACACTGTAATACCAGCACTCTGGGGGGCTGAGGTGGGAGAACTGTTTGAGCCCAGGAGTTTGAGACCAGCCTAGGCAATGCAGGGAGACCTCCGTCTCTACAAAAACTAAAAAAATCAGCCCAGTGTGGTGGCGCGTGCATGTAGTCCAAGCTACCTGGGAGGGTGGGGTGAGAGGATCGCTTGAGCTCAGGAGACTGAGGCTGCAGTAAGCCATGAATGCACCACTGGACTCCAGCCAGGGTGACAGGGCAAAACCCTGCCTCTAAAAACAACGCCCCACCCCAAAAAATAGGAACTTTTCAAATGCTGCAATCTTGGTAGAAATGTAAATATTCTAAAATGCAATGTAAGACAAAAATCAGTAGAAATAACAGAGAAATTAAAATTCACTCAAGTTCTATAGAATATTACTATTATTGTTCATCGTGAAATCTATGTCACAGATAAAGTTCATAGGAATACTTAACTCAGAGATTTCTTAATTTATCTTAGTTTGACTTACCACATACCTTTAGGACCTTTAATGAGCTTTATTTCCATTATTTTTTCTGATACTGGTTTCCTTCTTTTTACATACAAGCGTACCATAGACCCTGCTTCTTTCAATGCTTCAACTGCTTTGCTATGTGTTACATCACGAACATCTACTTCATTTACTCGTAATATACAGTCATTGACCCTGAGAAAACAATTAAATATAAAAAATAAAAATTAAATATAATGTAAATATTAATTTTCCACTTCACAAATTTTTTACTTTTTTTAAGGTAAAGAGAATTATAAATAATTCTGGAGTAATTCCAGAAAACACAAATGAAGAAAGTATATCAAAAACTAATATAAACAAATACAAACATTTCCCAAGGGTCAGCAAAAGGAACAAAAGAAATAGTGAAAATAATAGATTATACAAAAATATTAAACAATAATTACAGCTACCATTTGTATACTTACTGCATGCTTATTCTGTGTCGGCGTTAAGATATACTTTATAAAAATAGCAGACATTTATTTAGCACTAATGACATGCTAGACACTTTCTTGGTGTTTTAACCTCATGACACCTCTAAGCTAAATATATATTTTAATCTGTATTTTACAGATGGAGAAATTGAGGCAAAAAGAATTTAAATAACTTTCCTAAGGCCACCCAGATAGTAAGTGACATAGCTGTGATTCAAAGATAAGAAAACTGAGGCTCACATCATGAGTTTAAGGTCACAGAGATAGTGTGAAAACTGAGATAAACTAAATATAATTTTCTGAGTGCCTATTCCAACCTATATATTAGACATAAAAGAATGAAGTTATTCTTTGAAATTTATATAAAGATTAGGTCACTTAATTCAAAAGTTCTGTAGGTAAATAACTTAAAATTTGTCATAGTGTTATGTTTTCTAAAAGTTTGATTTGTTCCTAGTCTTAGCGTTTTCCCTAGTTCTGGTCTCTTTGACTGCATGGTATTCCATCAGGAAAAAAAGATGGTCATCTCAAATTGGGTAGAAAGGGTAAACAAAATATAATGAAAATATTAAAATTGGTCCGGACAAGCTTCTATATCTAACAGAATCAGAAAGTAAATGTCTACATTTACGTGAATTGTTAAATGATTTTTATATCAATTTGATTTCATTAATATACCATCTGTCATATCCAGTGAGAATTAAAGCTTAGAAATCGAAAAACTGCATAAGGTACCAACATCCTTAAAATAAGATGCTGTTTTTAACAGACTATATAAACTCTTTAGTCCTAAAACTTCAGGCTATTTTAACAACAAACAAGGAAATAGGGAAAATGCCGTAATTTATGACCCCCCAAAAAATCAAAGTTTGCAAAATATATCTTCCAAAATGGAACACATTTAAACAGAGACAAATGTTATTTTCATCTAGTCAATTAAGAAAATATATTACTTAAAATTTGCATATACTTTAGTCTTTGTGGTGTGGGATTCAACTTGGATGTGTGATCCTCTATTCTCCTTATCTTAAATAAGTTTATATACATGTTTCCCAACCAGAGAGGAAATGGAAAATATTTTGTGAGCAAATCTGAAAATACAAAGGGAAACTCATGATTTCTATAAATATGTTCACAAACATTTAAACCATCAACCAAATTTATCATTCAAAATGTTGTAATATCTAAGATAAAACTGGAGTCCTAAATGAACACAGGAAAACAACATTTGGAGCATAATTATCGCATTCATTGACTTGAATGTTGTTAAAGCATTCACCCTATGTTAGTTTTTATGATAGTGTTTGTTATTTGTATTTATTCCTTATCCAGTCTGCTTCAAGAAAAATACACAAAGTGGATTCAGCATCACAATGAAAATCGCAAAACATACCGCAATCTTCCATCTTGGGCGGCTGCTCCCCCCGTGATAATTTTGGTAATGAAAATACTTGAGTCATCTCCAATATGTGGGTTGTCTGTACCTCCTGCAATGCTGAAACCAAGCCCTGAATTTCCCTGAGGATAGAAGAAAAAAAATTGAGACTGAATGTGATTTATCTTTATTGATAGGTTCCTGTCATTAAAGGATGCAGAAACTGTACTAACATAAGGAACACAACAAATAAAGGTATATGGGTGAGTAAAATATAAAGATTCTAAATTATGGACATGTTCTGAAGGAAAGTCCTTTCAGAGGCATTACTGCTGAACAGGTGAGGTTCAAGAAAATATACCAACGACTTCTGAAGTCTACTCCACAGTTCTTTCTTTAAAAGTATGTGCAACTTGTCGCTGGATTAAGTCACCCATCTGCAGAGGTGTCACTCTAAGTCTGTTTCTTTCAGACTGCACCTCAGCCATGTTTGGTAGGGCACATCTCTCCTATGAGACAAACGCTGAAGTGATCTTCCTGCTGTTCTTTCTGAGCAGGTAAAACACACATATTGTTTTAGCCTTTGAAAAAAAGGGGTGGCGATGGTGCTTTTCTTCTGCTAACCTGACATCGGCTTATTTTTAAATGACCGAATTGTAGCCGCTAAGTGACAGCTGCCATCAACCCATGACATGTTTAACCAACACATCCGATTAGCAAAAGGCGTTTTTCCAGTTTTTCATACTAAAGTCCAACCTGAGAACACTGGTGAATTTTCTGGACAGCAAAGTAAATTTTGCCAAAGGAGCTCTACTTTTTGCTTGTTTTATGAACTGGAGAAACAAGATTTCTGAATATTTTCTTCACAGAAAGGGTCTGACTGCCACAAAAAGCCTTCAAAGAGAATTGATTTAAGCAATGGTATTAAAAAATGTTTATTTCTGCAAGAATGTTTTAACTGAATTTCAGGCAACTCAAGTAAGCAAATATATGTGGACTTATTATTTAACTGGTAGTATTAAACAGTGTAAACACTCACTCTACCACCATTTGTCTTAAAATTCTATTTTAATAAAAAAATGTTTTTTCAATCTAACTTCATGAATTACCTGAATCTTAAGAACAGTACCAGTGGATTATGGGAGGTTACCAAGTTACTTAGGTACTCAAGTTCTTCAACCAGTGAAAAATACAACGTATAGTCCTGACTAAACAAAAGAAATTTAAAAGGCCCTGGGAAAGAATAAAAAAATCAATAATATAAAAAGTTAGGAGACATCACAAACTACTGTATTAAAATATGTACAGTACATTAATACTGTGCTTACTTGAATGTTACTTCAGTAGCCACCTAACAGGTGATACGAATTTAAGTAGAAGGCAATAAAGATATACATGTAAGACTCTCTCAGATTTATTTTTCTCAGACTTGATTCCAATATAAACAAATCTAATTATCTAGGATTTTAGTCTAGAATATACACACATTTAGTTACTTAAGAATCTGCTTGTGTGAAACACTAAATTTTCATAAAATGCGAGCCAGATAAGGTGGCATTACTATTATAACTTACAATAAAAATTGAATGCAGATACTCTTTTTTCTTTTTAGACAGAGTCTCACTCTGTCACCCAGGCTAGAGTGCAGTGACGCGATCTTGGCTCACTGTAACCTCTGCCTCCCGGGTTCAAGCGATTCTCCTGACTCGACTAGCTGGGATTACAGGTCTGCACCACCACACCCGGCTAATTTTAGTATTTCTAATAGAGGCGGAGTTTTGCCATGTTGGCCAGGCTGTCTTGAACTTCTGGCCTGAAGTGATTCACCTGCCTCGGCCTCCCAAAGTGCTGGGATTACAGGCGTGAGCCACCGTGCCGGGCCTGAATGCAAACGTTCTTAAGGAAAAAAACATATCTTAAGAAAATTTACACATCTGCATTACACCCTTAAGTCATTTTCTGACTGGGGGAGTATACCATAGTAAGTTTTTAATACAGCTCTGTCCGTTAGAAGTATGGTTATTTTGCTAGAAAAGAAAATTGATACAATGACCATGTTACTAGTATACCACTTAATACGAACAATATTTCATTATCATATGCATATAAACAATACAAACAAAATTAAAAAGCAAGAAAAACCTGAGTAACTATCATAATCTAGAGGAGTCTAAGGAGACAGGATAACTAAACGTAATGTGGTTTCCTGGATGGGCCTCTGGAAGACAATAACATAAAAAGTAAGGAAACAGAGACTTCGGTTAATAATAATGTATGAATATAGGTGTGTTAGTTCAAACAAATGTACTCTAGTAACATAAGATGTTAACAATAGAGGTGGCCGAATCCAGGGTAAATGGAAACTCTTGGGACTATCTTTACAACTTCTTTGTAAATCTAAAACTACTTTAAAATAAAAGTTTGTTAAAAAAAATAAGGTTACTAAAGAAAAGGCACATGTTTTGAAAATACCTTGGCCAATTTTATGAACTGGGAACTTAGAAAATATCATATAGTTCTGTTTTTGAAAGATCTCCCTTGAATTCTATATGAAAAAGCAGTATATTGCAAAGTTCTTTAAACAACAGATTAAGGTAATAGTTTTTACCCTTTCAAGTGTGATTTCTTCATATTCATAATCTGCATCTGTGCCATTAACCTACAGGGGAAAAGAAAAGCAGCTCAGAAACTTAAGAGTGTAAAATCTGAAATGGCAAGACAAAATTTTTGTATGATTTATTAATGAAAACCTGTTAAATGCAACAGTAATCAAATACAATATTCATTTTAATAAGTCTGGGGAAGATTTTCAAGGAATGGAAGGATACAAATGTGATTAATGAACTGACAACATTCGTGGTACCATGACTTTCAAATCCAGAATAGGCACATTCAGCTTTTAATAGTTTCGACCTCTGATCCTTCTCTGTCTTGTTCCACGCATCTATCAGTTGCCAACTGTTCCTGATTTGAACACTTTAATTTTTCTGAAAATCATCACCTCTTCACTCTCATTTCTGACACCTTTCTTCAGGCCTTGTTAAACCTCCTCTGGAATGCAGTACTGTCTATGCAGTCTGCCTGATTGCTTAGATTAGTATTCCCCATTGCCCAAATCACTGTGTTTTAAACAGTTGGTTCTTTTTAAAGAACATAACCTACTTCCTCTAAAACTTTCAAAACTCTCCCTTTCTCGAAATATCCAAACTCTAGGGCTTGGTAATCACATCTTTGAATGAACTGACCCCAATGTACCACTCACCTTCATTCTTCACCTCTTCATAAACCTTACACACTATCCAGTCTGAATGACTTGCTCTTTCCATTACACATCCTACAATTTCCCACTTCGACATCTGGAAATTTTGTGCTTCCTCGGTCACAAATTTCACTTACATGTTTTATGTCAAAATCAGAGTCACCATTCAAGATATCTTGGTCACAATTTATCTCCCTCCAATTTATTTCCTAGTCTCTGCTCAAAGAAGTTAACTCCTACAGTAAAGGCCACTGGTGAAACAAGTCCCTGGAATCAGATGAACATGGGTTTGAATCCTTGCTTTAACATTTCTCGTGATATGAGGCTGGGCAAAACTCTAGCTAAATCAAATGGGGACTGTGGTAAATTCTACTTCTGAACATGGCTCACATCTTCCATTCCAGACATTCTTTTGCAATATGACTAAATCATCCTACCATCAATAGGAGTCTCTTTCCCCTCCCATTAGATCTAGGCAAGTCCTGTGACTAGCTTTGACTGAAAATAAATGTGGCACAAACGATGCCGTGTGATTTCAGAGACTAGGTCATCTGATGCCTGGTAGTATTTGCTTTTGCTTGGAATGTATTTTCTTTGGAACCCAGCAGCTATAACATGAGGAAAACTCAAGCAGCCTACAGGGAGATCTAAACAACGGAGAACCAAAACCCTTGGCCCAAAACTCCAGCTACACTTCTAATCAGCAGTCAGCACCAACTATCAGCCTTGTGAATAAGGCTGTTTGGACCTCCCAGCCATGTCCAGTGCCCTAACCCACACCATGTAAAGCAGAGTCATCCAGTTCATTATGAGAAAACATGAACTGTTGTTCTTTTAAGCCGCTAAGCTTCAGGGTAGTTTGTTATGCAATGATAGATAACCACAACAGAAACAACGAAACCTACGTAAGCTACTTTGCTTTCTTAACCGTACTATAAAAAGTAGCCCTTAGTTCAGGTCTAACATAGGGACCAGGAGTTTCTTCCTTGAGAACTTCTGAAGCCCATCTCTACTACCCTTTTGGGTTCTTAACTCTTGTGATTCTCCTGGATTCAAATCCTATTACTATTTTGTTCCCTCTTCTTTTTCTCATCTAAAGACATTTTCCTCTTATAGATTATATGTTATAAAGGCATTATATATTTATACGGAAAGAGTTGGGATTTCACTCTGCTACCTAGGCTGGAATGCACTGGCATAACCATAGCTCGTTGTGGCCTCAAACTCCTGTCTTCAAGTGATCCTCCTGCCTTAGCCTCTTGAGTAGCTGAGACTACAGGCACATGCCACCATGCCTGGCTAAGTTTATTTTTATCTGTTTTCCGTAGAGATGGGGTCTGTGTTGTCCAGGTGTTCGCTTGCGTGCTCTCTCTCTCTGTCTCTCTCTCTCTCTCTCTCACACACACACACACACACACACACACACACACGTAAAATTTCTTTATCTCAGCTTAGGAGGAGTAACTTCAAGAGATGTGTTGATCATGTCTGTGCATCTAGAGTATAGGAGGGTTACACATGTGTATATCACACCCACTTGACTGGAAGTCCTTTGTTAAGAGTAAAATTTTCATTTGCTGCAATATCCCCTTTCTTATTCTAAAGGTCATTTGTATCATCTTGTTTCTTGACGTTATTGACGAATCTATTACATTTCATGGTATTACTTTGTTTTTAACAATTCCTTATTCCTTTGATTTTCTAAAAAAGACTTTTGAGTTGAATGCTCAATTTATGCTTACTCTATTCTGCTTTTAAAAGCCTCAAAGTTTACAAACTTTCCTTGGCATATGGATTAGGCCAAATCCCGTAACTGCTAGCTGCACTGGGCTCCATTTTTGTTCATTTGTTTATTTCTAAATCATCTAAATTTTATTTTGGAAAACATCTCCAAATGAGTGTGCTCATATGGCCCTTTTGGCATTAATGTAAAATTCAGATTTCTGCCTCCAGGAATCTTAGATTTTTCACCTCTAAGTCTCCTCACAAGGTAGGAGCTCAGTAAATGTTCCTGGTGCTTAATTTAATGCCAATTCATCACGCAGGTTTCTAAGCAGCACAGAAGGGGGGTTTTTAGGTAGCACTGAGTACTTTTAAAAAGGTGAAACATGAGGCGGCCATACAGACCACCAGTAACTTTATTCCTTAATCCTCAATTGTTTGAAACTCTGATAATTTCAAATACCGAGACAATTCTATAACATTAAACATACTCACACTAAAGCTTCTAAGGGCCAAGAGTATATTATCAAAAACATATTTGCGTGTGTGTGTGTGTGTGTGATGAGAAAATTTACAATCTACTCTCAGAAATTTTCAAGTGTACAATACACTGTTACTAACTCTAGCTGCCATGTTATACAACATATCTTGTGAAGTTACTTCACGTAAATTGAAATTTTGTATCATTTGACCACCATTTCCTCAATCCCTCCCCACCATCCCCACGTAACCACCACTCTACTCTCTGCTTTTTGACTTTTTAACATTTGATTGTGCAGTATTTGCCTTTCTGTGCCTGGTTAATTTCATTTAACATGTCATCCAGGTTCATCCATGTTGTCACAAATGACAGAATTTCCTTCTTTTTAAAGGCAGAAGAGTATTCCACTCTGTACATATACCACATTTTCTTCACCTACTTCATGTGTCAACAGACACTTAGGTTGTTTCCGTATCTTGGCAACTGTGACTAATGCTGCAATGAACACTGGAGTCAGGTATCTCTCTGATGTATTGATTTTCTTTCCTTTGGATATGTACTCAGGAGTAGGATTGCTGATCACATGGTAGTTCTATTTTTAATTTCTGAAGAACCTCCACACTGTACTATGCAATGGCTGTACTAATTTACATTCCCACCAACAGCATAGAAAGCTTCCCTGTTCTCTATACCACTGCCAAGACTTATCTTGTCTTTTTTATAACAGCCATCCTAATGGGCGTGAAGTGGTATCTCACTGTGGTTTTAATATGCATTTTCCTGATGACTGGTGATGTTAAGCATTTTTAAATATACTTGCTGGACATTTAGTCTTTTTGTGTATATGCAATGTCCTTTCAGATCCTTTGTCCATTTTTAAAAATGGGTTGTTTTCTTGCTATTTATTCATATTTTTAACTTTGTTGCCCAGCCTGGAGTGCAGTGGTGTGATCACAGCTCACTGCAGCCTTTAACTCCTGGGCTCAAGCAATCCTTCCACCTCGGCCTTGTGAGTAGCCAGGACTACGGGCATGTGCCATCGCGCTCGGTGAATTCTTAAAATTTTTTTCTGGAGACAAGGTCTCATTACATTGCCCAGGCTGGTCTCAAACTCCTGAGATCAAGTGATCCTCCCACCTTGGCCTCCCAAGGGCTGGGATAATGGGCGTGAGCCACCAGGCCTGACAATGTTTTCTTGCTATTGATTTGAGTTCCTTATAAATTTTTTATTAACCCCTTGTCAGACTTAGAGTTCACAAATACTTTCTCCCATTCTGTAGGCCGTCTCTTCACTCTGTTGATTGTTGCTTTTGCTGGGAAGAAGCTTGTTGTAATCCCATTTACTTATTTTGTTTTCACTGCCTATGCTCCTGGGTTTCAAAGTATCTGCTCGGTCCAATGTCGAGAAGTTTTTCCCTTATGTTTTCTTTCTTTCTTTCTTTCTTTCTTTCTTTTTGAGATGGAGTCTCACCCTGTCGCCCAGGCTGGAGTGCAGTGGCGTGATCTGGGCTCACCACAAGCTCCACCTTCTGGGTTCAAGCGATTCTCCTGCCTCAGCCTCTCAAGTAGCTGGGATTACAGGTGCACGCCACCATGCTCAGCTAATTTTTGTATTTTTAGTAGAGACAGGGTTTCACCATGTTGGCCAGGCTGGTCTCGAACCCCTTACTTCAGGTGATCTGCCCACCTCGGCCTCCCAAAGTGCTGGGATTACAGGCGTGAGCCTCTGTGCCCCACTGCTTTTCCCTGATGTTATCTTTCAGTAGTTTTACAAAGTCAGTTAACATTTAAATCTTGAATCCATTTCAAGTTGATTTTTGCATATGGTATGAGATAAGGGTCCAATTTCATTCTTCTGCACGTGGATATCCAGGTACTGTAATACCATATATTGAAGAAACTGTCCTTTCCCCAATGTGTGCCCTTGCCATTTTTGTTGAAGATCAGTTTACCATAAATGTGCAGATTAATTTCTGAGCTCTCAATTCTACTTCATTGCGCCGGTCTGTTTTTGTGCCAGTACCACGCTGTTTTCATTACCACAGCTCTGCGGCGGATTCTGAGATGAGGCAGTATGATGCCTTAAACTTTGTTCTTTTTGTTCAAGATTGCTTTGGCTATTTGGGGTCTTTTGTGGTTCCATTTCAATTTTAGAAGCATATTTTCTACTTTTACGAAAACTATCACTGAAATCTTG